ACACACACACACACACACACACACACACACACACACACACACACACACACACTTGGCCTGAGTTCCTTCATTTCCCTGGCCTACTCACAACCCCTCTTGCCCCTCACCTGTGCCCCCCTCCTTGCCCCGCAGGACGGGACTCCAGGGGGTCCCCTCCCTCCCCCTACACCCCTGGGCCGGGGGAACAGGCTTTACCTTGCCCTCCTGCCTGGGTGGGGTCTCACCCCGGAACCCACCGGTGTACCTGTTACTGCTGGGTTTCCACTGAGATCTACTGGAGAAAGAATAAAGTTCTATTTATTCTACGATGCCTCTGCCTCTCTGCCTCCACCCTCTCCTCTCCCTGTCTGGGCAGGGGACTCGAGATGGGGGCTTTCCACAGGCTCTGGGCCCCAAGGGCTAAGCACAAATTTCAAGTGCCAAGGGCTTGGCCAGTGCCTTAAGTTGCCCTGTGACAGGGTCCAGGTCTCCAGAGACCCTGAGATCTGAGATAGGCCCGATCTGGCAGTGCCCTCAAACTGGGGCCGGGGAGAGTCTCGTCCGCAGCAGAGGACTCTGACCGGGAAGGGGAGCAGGAGGAGAAATGGCCCGTTCCACGGTCTGAGAAAGGAAGCCAGCCCCTGGCCTCAGAGCCCCTAGACACTGAAGTTACCCAGCGACAGATGACGAATTCGATGTTCACACAATCTTGGAGCTGAGCTCCAGGTGCCCTAACAGCAGGAGAGTGAGGAGCCAGTGTGAGCTAGAAAGGACTGTCCTGCCCCCTTCTGAGGCTCTGATTGGCGGCCGCGGAGCTTGGGGTGTGAGCTTTCCGTTCCTTACGGCTGTACATCCCAGCCGAGAGGCCGCTGTCCTTGCCCAGGGTCACCCAGTGGCAGTGCAGGAGAGGGGGGTCAGCACTCAGGGTTTCTCCTTAACCCAGGGTTCTTGACTGGGTTCCTGAGGCTCCAGAAGCATCACACACCCCAAGGTGATGGTGCTTGGGGGTGGGTTCCCACCCACTCCCTCCCCAGCCTTAGCAAGGAGAGCCAAAGGGCGCTTTCCCTGGAGGCCCTAGCCATTTCTAGGGCAGCCGCTAGGTGGCAGCAGCCGCTCACTTATCTCACTGTCTCAGAGCGGCGGCGCCTTGGACCACACCTCTTCCCTAGTAATTTTCTAACATGGTTACTTAGTTGAATAAATGTAACATACTTGGACATACGCTTCCAAGAACCAATATATGCACCTGGGAGGCAGGAGAATTACCCCCAAGTTCAAGGTCAGCCTGGCCTACAAACAGCAAGTTCCAGGCTAGCCTGGGCTATAGAGTAAAACTTTGCCCTAAAAACCAAAAACTAGATTATTGTCACATGGCAGTGTAGACCAGGAACAAAGAGAGGGCAAGTTCCGTACATTAATAAATACCTTAAGAGAAGAAACCCAGGAAGGGGGCTGCATTAACATGCCAGAGTCCTTGTCCAGCATATATTATATTGGTCCTGGAATCTGTCCGTCCCCAACACAAAACAACCAAAACCCAGGAAAATTAGAGTGTGGGTAGATCTAAAAACTGACATATCAATGTCCAAGAAATAAAACGGAGAACATTGTTTCACACACAAAATAGGTAAACCGACAGTGTTATACAATTTTATTTTTATTTTATTTACGTGTCGGTGTGTCTTTGTGTATGCAGATACCTCCAGAAGTTAGAAGATGGCGGGTCCCCTGGAGACGGGGTTAGGTGCAGATGTGACCCTCCTGCCCTGGGTGCTGGGAACAGAGCTTGAGTCCTCTGGAAGGGCAATGCATGCTGAACTGTCCGGCCATCTCCCCAGCCGCTCAAAGTGGTTTTCCACGGTGTAAATGTCCAACAGGACATTCCAAACGTCGTGTGGCTGAGATGGTTGGTGAGGAGGCCAAGCCAGGAAAGGAGCTTGCCACCCTGCCGGCAACCTGAGTGTGAGCCCCAGGACCCACATGACGGAAGGAGAGAACTGACTTCCACAGGTTGTCCTCCGGCCTCCACATTCATATTGTGGACACTCTTATTTATCCTGTAACAAAATATTTTTAAAGCTTGTCTGACAATTTTGTGTCTATTTGAAGTCTTCAACTTCTTTCTACCTTGATTTTTCGTTTGAGAATTTCGTACTTGCCGCTGAGCGGTGGTGGCACACACCTTTGCCTTTGATCCCGGCACTCTAGAGGCTGAGGCAGAGGCAGGCGGATCTCCGAGTTTGAGGCCAGCCTGGTCTACAGAGTGAGTTCTAGAACAGCCAGGGCTACACAGAGAAACAACTGTCTCACGAAACAAAAAGAGAATTTCATACTTGCATATAATGAATTTTGATAAAATCCACCCCATTCCCACCCCTTTTAGCTCCTTCCCTTACCTCCCCCCCCCACTCCCCCTCCAACTTCATGTGTTTTTTTTTAAAAACCCACTGAGTTTACTTAGAACTGCCTGAGTGAGCATGGGTGTAGGGCCACCGGCTGGAGCACCCCTGAAGAAAACTCACCCCCTCTCCAAGGAGCTAGGCACTCCGCAAGCACTCCAGAAAACTGAACCCCTCAGCTGGGGGGAGGGACTTGGTGAGCCCCCCTCCCCAACCCATGCTGGCATTTTCTCTGGATTGACTTGAGTCTACCTTATCTTTTCAGCTGGGTCTCTCTCTCTCACTGAGCCTGAAACTCACAAATGTGGCTAGACAGGCTGGCCACAGGAATCCCCCTGCCTCTGTATCCCAGCATGGGGATTGCAGGCGTGTACCAGTGGGGCCCAGCATGCTTAAGTGGATGCTGAGGATCTGAATGCGGATTCTTCTGCCCACATGCCAAACGTTTTACCACAGACTACACTGTCTCTGCAACACTTGTGACTTAAAAAAAAAAAAAAAAAAAAAAAAAAAAAACCTGGGAGATGATATCTTGAGGTTCCTAGTCCCTTTCCACAAAATGCTACCAGGATGTCATCACCATGACAATCTGGAAGAGACCCCTATATTGATGAGGAACTTCTGACAGAGTATCTTCCCTGAGGAGAATTGCTCCTCATGGGCTGTCTTTACTGATCCACAGTTCATCTCTGTGAAACAGTTTCTCAAGCTGTGGCACCAATGACATTTTTCTTTCTTTCTTTCTTTCTTTCTTTCTTTCTTTCTTTCTTTCTTTCTTTCTTTCTTTCTTTCTTTCTTTCTTTCTTTCTTTCTTTCCTTCCTTCCTTCCTTCCTTCCTTCCTTCCTTCCCCTTCCTTCCTTCTTTCTTTCTTTCCTTCCTTCCTTCCTTCCTTCCTTCCTTCCTTCCTTCCTTCTTTCTTTCTTTCTTTCTTTCTTTCTTTCTTTTTTTTTTTTGACAGGTTTCTCGACGTAGCCCTGACTGGTTTAGACTCTCCTCACAGAGCTCCACCTGCTGTGTCTCCCAAGTTCTGGGACTAAAGGTGTGCATCACCACATCTGGCCTTTTAAATTTGTTGTTGTTGTTGTTTGAGACAGGTTTCTCTGTGAAACAGTCCTGGCTGTCCTGGAACTCACTCTGTGGTTCAGGCTGGCTTCAAACTCACAGAGATCCTCCTGCCTCTGCCACTGAGTGCTGGGATTAAAGACACGTGTCACCACCTCCTGGCCTTAATTTTTTTTTAAGACATTGTCTCTCCATGTAACCTAGGTCTAGTAGTGACATTTGGGGTGAATTTTTTTTTTTCTGTGAGAGTTTGTCCTGAGCACTCACAATGGTTAACAGCTATGTTCTATGTTGGTTTTGCTGTGTAGCCCAGCCAAGCCTGGAATTTGAGATTCTCCCGCATTAGCCTCTCAAATTGAGATTACAGTTTTGTGTCTCTAGTCCTAGCTTGCTCCACCACACCCACCCCTCTGTTTTTGGACAGGGTCTCAGGTGTCCCAGGACAGCCTTAAACTCACTATATAACCGAGGCTGACCTTGCACTTATGATCTCCCCCCGCCCTCCACTCCCCCCAAGTGCTAGGATCACAGCCATTCACCGCCATGCCTGGGGATCAAGCCCACGGTTTCTTGCACCCTCCGCAAGCAAGCACTCCAGCAAACCGAACGCCCTCAGCAGCCTCTCCTCTCTTGGGATGCTCCTCATGCCTCCTTGAAGACTGTGGCAATGTCCTCCGGGGCGGGGGGGGGGGGCAGGTGCACCCCTAGCTGAGAAGCTCTGTGCGGTGCCATGGCCAATCTTCCGTAAGGAGGGACTCGGAGGGTGCTATGAACCCCAGTTGGAGGCGTTTCCCCAATGAGTCTCGGAATCTTCATGGGTGAGCGCTCCCCCACCCCCGCAGGAACTAGGTGGGGTGCGGGGGTGATTAGGTGGCTAGTCGCAATCAGAATTTAGCAGCAGCTCATGTCTGGTTGTGAGAGTGAGTACGGAGAAGGTGAGGCTGCAGAGGCCGGGACAGGGGTAGCAGGGGCAGGATTCCACCCCGAAGGGGGATTTAAGCTGGCGAGACAGGTCTTTAGAGGGAGCTAGCAGGGCCTGAACAGAGGCTGTGGGGGAGCGAGCTCTAGGCACAGCTGACCCTGGGCGGGCGCCTTCTGCAGGACACACGGGAGATGGTGGGTGACACAGGTGACTGAGGACTGAAGATGGGCGGGACGGCAGCTGGTAGAGGTGGCCCCACTGGGTGGTAGAGCCAGCTGTGGAGCAGAACAACCAAGGAAGGCAGAACTGGTTCTAGGTCGTTGGTTACCCGCACCACACAACCATTGCTCGCTCAACTCCGGCCACATTAGTCTCCTTGGTGGCTCTGGCACATCTCCACCTCAGGGCTCTGGCACTGGCCACCTCAAGGCTTGTCTCGGAAACAGCTTCGTGACTGAGCCCTGAAGGGTCACCTCCTCAGGGGCATCACCCTCCCCTTATCTTTTTTTTTGATGTCTTTCCCACCAGAGTTGCTGCAGCCCCGACAGCCCAACATCTGGATCAGTGCTGCAGCCCAACATCTGCATCTGTGCTGCGTGTGGCCGCCACTAAGCCATGGGTGCTGAATGGGCTGGTTTGAGCGTGTGAAGTTCACACAGGATCTGTGTGAGAGGAAGAATGGGACACCTCTCTGTGATGCTTCTGAACACTGACGACGCGTGGAAACGGAGCGGTTTGGGGTAAAAGAAACGACTACCGACATCAGGTCTCAGCTGCTTCCTTTCCCTTTTTTTAATGGCTAAAGGAAAATGTGAATTACACTGTAAATTGGACGCAGTGGCACAGGCCTTTCATCCCAGCAGAGGCAGGCAGATCTTCGTGAGTTCCAGGACAGCCTGGCCTATGAAGAGAGAATCTGTCTTGAGAACCAAAACCAAACAAAAAAAATTACATTGTGCTTCATGTACAATTGTACTGAACGATGCTGACCTTGAACCAGCATTGAGTGACTTATCTTTGGAAAACGGCTGGACACCCACATGCTTGTGTGGAGGGGTCCAGGCTGTAGCCAGGCATGTCCACCGGGAGCGTAGACATGAGCGTGGTGATGGTGTGGGCCTTGAGAACCCTCTCTTTTCTCCCCCCAAATATCTACTATATGCCATGCCCAGGAGACAGTGCAACCATCCAGCAGAAGGGTGGGGTATGGGGTGCCTGACTCCAGCTTAGGGCACGGAAAGCCCCTGCTGGGGGGCGCTTGTTTTCTTCCAGTGAGACCAAAGGCAAAGGCAGGCAGCGGGGGTCAGGGCTTCAGAGAGCGAGGACTGTACCCGAGGGCATGTCTAAAACTGGCATCAGAAGTGGGCATGGTGTTTGTTTGGGGCAGAAACTTCAGCCTGGCGTGACAGATGGCGGTGGTGGAGGCCTAGCCAAGGCAGAGCAGGAAGCCTGGGGGAAGGGCTGGTTGCACCCCAAGGACAGGGACCTCTCAAGGGCTAAGTAAGGCTTGGTAGAAAGCCCTCAGGAGGGGGATGGGTACATGGACAGAGGGAAGGCAACTTGGGGTGTGGTGGCTGAAGGCAGGGCCTGGGCAACAGATCTGACAGAGCCTGAGGTGCTGGGTCAGGATCGATCCCTTGGTCCTGGTGAATTAAGAGTGGCCACCCAGGCGATGAAGGAGGAAGGCGGGTGAGGTAAGGACAGAGAGGGATGAAGTATGGGCTGGAGAGACGGCTCAGCAGTTTAGAGCACTGGCTGCTCTTCCAGAGGACCCGGGTTCAAGTCCCAGCCCCCACATGGCAGCTCACAGCTGTCTGGAACTCCAGTTCCAGGGGATCCAGCACCCGCACACCAGTGCACATAAAATAAAATTAAATAGAATATTTAAGAAAAAAGGAGGGGGGTGAAGTAGCCATGTGGCAACTCTTTCAAAGTCTGTGCTAGAAGAATGGCTAGTTGTAAGGGGACCTAGGGACCTATCTGTCTCTGGGGCAGCTTTCCCTAAGGATGGAAAGGCCTCAGCCATGTTTGTTTACAGACTATGGTGGCCGCGGGTGGGAAGAGTGAAGATGGAAGCCGAAAGACCACCACTGCCTGTCTTTATCTTCCCACTCTGCTCCCACCCCGTTCCTGTGGGGGAACACTGATGCCCTCACAGGCGGCAGGGTTAGGTCAGTAGGGAGGAAGCCATTATGGCTACCACTAGCATTGGGTTCTGGTAGTGAACGACAGTGTTAGCAGGTGCACACACAGAATGTGTGTGTACAGGTGTGTACACAGAGCTTACGCAGGAGGCATGCATCCATGCACGCGCACAGAGCCCCCCAGGACATCCGTGGGCATGTCTGTGCACACATGCACGAACACAGGTCTGTACCTCCTGTTACTTGGAAGGCGTACGCTTGTGTGCACAGGCATGTGTGGACCCCTCCGAGGGGGGGTACACATGCAGCACACACACAGCCCACAGGGGTTTAATGTGCACAAGCAACCAACCCATCTCAGTGTATCCAGGTGTGCATGTATGTGTGCACAGAGAAGTGAGCTTCTCTGAACAAGCAGGGGACCTGGGAATGCTGCCATCCCTGCTGATTTCACCCCCCGATACAACAATCAGGTCACCCACTGCCCTTGGCCCATTCGCTTCCTCTCAAGGCTCCTGGCATCCTCCCTTTCCGGCTGGGAACACAGCACAGAGGAGCCCCCCTGATGCAAAGCACCCCCAGCTCGCTGCGGCAACCAGCACTAGGAAGTGCGACGCCACCCCGACCCGAACCCCGGCGGTCCCTCATCTTCTGCTGTGGGGGGTGTGGGGGGTGTGGTCCCCTCTGCTCATCTTCAGCTCAGGCAGGGTCCTACGCAGTCTCGCGGAAGCCACTTCTCGCTTCTGCCTCCACCGACCCCCCTCGGTGCTGAAGGTTCGGCCCGGGGCCTCGCCGCTAGATGGCCAGGTCCTGACGCACGGTGGCCAGCGACGCCTTGCTGTGACCGCTGCCGCCCTCGCCCTCGCTGTCGCCGGCCGGCGCGCGGTGAGCGTAAGCGGGCGGCCCGAAGGGGTCGGGGTCGGCTCGCTGCGAGGGCGGAGCGGGCGGCGGCGGGGGCGGGAGCAGCTTGGCGCGCTGGCGACCCTTCCAGAGCAGGTGGCCCAGCTCGGCCACGCTGAGCAGCGCCGAGAGCAGCCCGACGGCGAAGTAGAAGACCACGAAGACCGTCTTCTCGGTGGGCCGGCTCACGAAGCAGTCGACGGTGTGCGGGCAAGGCGGGCCGGCGCACGCGTAGTGCGGGGCCACGCGGAAGCCGTAGAGCAGCGCCTGGCCCCCCAGGAAGGCCAGCTCGGCGAGCAGGCGCAGAGCCACGCTCAGCAGGTAGCAGCGGCGCGCGCGGCGGGCGCGCAGGGAGCACGGGGCGCACGGGGCCTCGGGGCGCCCGCGCGTGCACGGCGGGGCCGGCTGCGCACCGCCCGCCTCCTTGCTGGCCTGGTGCATGGAGTAGATGACGAACAGCACCGGCGGCGCCGACAACAGCAAGATGTGGAAGAGCCAGAAGCGGTAGTGGGACACCGGGAAGGCGCGGTCGTAGCAGGTCTGGCGGCAGCCCGGCTGCAGCGTGTTACACACGAACTCCTCCTGCTCGTCCTCGAACACGGCACCTCCCACCGTGGCCAGCACCAGGATGCGGAAGATCAGCATGATCACCAGCCAGAGGCGACCCACGAGCGGCGACTGCAGCTGCACGGCGTCCAGCAGGGAGCCTAGGAACGCCCACTCTCCCATGACGCTGGGGACAAGGGAGAGGGGTAGTCAGAGGCCGGGATGGACTGGACCCCTGTCCCTCCACGCCCGCCGCAATCTCTAACCTTGGCGGGCACCAGGGGTCAGAGATTTTGTGGGGTTCAGTGAGTTAATGTCCGAGTGTGAGGGTAGTAGGTGAGTCCATCCTCGGCTAAGGGATCCCTCCATCTGGGCGTAGAGAGGTGTTGAGGTGCTCCCTCCCCACCCCCGCCCGGGCCTGCTTGGCTAGACCCTCTGATCTCTCAGACTCTAGGCTCTTCTGCAGGGCCAGCCCCTGCCTGGCGCCAGGATGATTTCTAGGAGCGAGAGCGGCTGCTGGAGTCCGGAATTCTTCGTTCCATTTGAGACTCCTGGGAGCAAGGGGAGGGCCAGGCCGGGCGGGCCCCCACCGTCCCCTTCCTCCCCCTCCTCACCGTGAGAACTCCTTCCAGCACTGGAGGCTGACACAGAAGCCTGTTCTCAGGAATCTCCCCGCGCCCGATCCTCCCTTTCCTCTCCTACCTCCGGCCCAGGGGAATGGGAACGGCCCCCCCCCCTCGCACCTCCTCCTGACAGCGGTTGTCAAGCATCTCCTGTAAACCTCCGCTGACACACGGAACACACCACGTCCCTGTAGACCCTTGGTGGCCTCTAGATCCTCCGACCCCACTTACCCTGGGGCCTCTGCTTAGAGCTGAGCGGAGGACCTTGGGAGACAGCTGGGACCTGTTCCTCTTGGTCCCTCTTTCATTTTCCTTTTCGGATTTGGCTGGGATGGATGACAGGACAGGATGGCTGAGAGGGGCTAGCTCTCCCCCTTCTCTTAAAGGGACAGGGTGACCCTGCTGTCTGGCTCCACCCTGGGAACAGACCCAGGGCCACACCCCTTGCTGGGTTCTTCCAACCCTCCCTTTCAGCCTTCACACCCCCCCCCCCCATGCCCATCCCATAGTCATCTCCATCTGGTGATGGACTGAGGTTAACTAGAACCACACCTTTATTGAGGGAGCCAGGGGAACCAGGGAACCCTTCCCCTGACAGACTCCCCAAACTGAGGACTAGGTCCACACAACTGACTGACCCCCTTTTGAAGGAGCCAGAGGCAGATATCTGAGTTTTGGGAGGCAGCAAACATTGATGGCTTTTGGCTCTGGCTCTACCACACTCCACCTTGGAGGAGCCATTTGGCTTGTTTTGGGTCAGGACCTCTGGGTTGGTCACCTGAGCCAGCTAAGCTCCAAGGTCCATCCTTTTTCTTTTGCTCTGAGACAGAATCTCACTGTGTAGTTCAAGCTGGCCTGGAGCCTGCTACTATATAGGCCAGGCTGCCCTGGAAGAGTTGATCCTCCTGCCTCAGCCTCCTAAGTGCCAGGACATTAGGTATGTATCACCACACCCAGCTGCCCATCTTAATGCTCAGGTCTCCACTATGTTACAGAAACCCAAAGCCTTGAGCCTGGAAGAACTCCATGTGGCCAGCAGGAAGGTGTGGAGTGTGGCTGGCTCCCATGGTTAAGCAAAGGCTCTGGTCTCTCCAGAAATTTCTAGATTGCCTGTGAGGAGCATGGCGCTTCCTAAGGTCAGCAGCAGTCAGAGCTTCCACCAAGGGCTCTCCATTGAGTGTCTCCCAACATCTGGGAGCGGGGATATGCTGCCATTGTAATTAGGAAGATCCATGACAGGGGACCTGATTGGGCAGGAGGAGGTGGTAGTCCAGGTTGAGATGCTTTCTTTGTCCCTCTGGTCTAGCACAGTCTTCAGCACTCAGGTGGGGACACCGTTCACAGCTGGGGAAACAGAGACTTAGTGAGTCACAGATGTGTAGTCAGTGAATGGCAGACCCTGGCCTCACACTCATGCTCATAGCACGCCAGGGAACTGTCCTCTCTAGCCGGGCTGGACTTCCCCAGGGTCTTGTTGGGGGGCCGAGGGGCCAGCCCTGGAGGACGGCTATGCTTGTTCCTGCGAAGGGGAAGGTCGCTGAGTCCTCATGTCCTGTGTGCCATTTCTCCCCGAGTCAGTCACAAAGACCTGCGTGGGTTTCTCTCTGTTGACAGGGGGTCCCTAATGGAAAATGTCCTCTCTCCCATTGGCTCAGTCAGGGGTCTCTCCCAGCCTGGAAAAACTTTTGGTTAACTCCAGCTTGGGTGTGCCCTTGGACATTTCCATCCTCCTGTAGGGTCCCTTAGAAATAGGCCTGGGGGGTGGGGGTGCTACCCTGGATAAAATCCAAGCAAATAGCACGTGCTGGAGCCCCACATTCTGAAAACAGGATGTGAGGTGGGGCACTGTTGACCTCTGCCACCGGCTTCTGGTGGAGCCGCCGGTTGCCCTGTCCTCGGCCGTGGAGGCCCAGGGTCAGGTCTCATCTCTCCCGGCTGTCCGTGATGGTCCCAGCCCAGCCCTGCCGGTCCTGCTTCGTCAGCCTGGAAAAAGCCCACCAGACCCCACCCCACCCCACCCCACCCCACCCTGTGTGCCTGCAGGGGGTGGGACAGGAGGTGGAGGGCCCCTGGTCACCCTGCCCTGTCCCCCGCCAGTTCCTGATGCCAGAGGAGACTCTACAGTAATCTGCAGGACCCAGTCCCCTGCCCAGATAGCGCTGGGCAGCTTGGGAGGTGTTGCTGACAATCCCCAGAACTGGCGGCTCTGGCCCTTCCCGGCCCTGCTTGAAGAAGGGCTGGGCTGAGAGGGTCCTCCCCGTGTGTCTGTGTCCCAGACACCTCCATCTGGCTATCGGGCTGTGGAGCCACAGTCCTGTATCAGTCACTCATGGGCATACGCAGGGGCATGTCCGTGTTCGTATCCAGGAAGTTCATAACGGTGCTGTCCCTGATACATGGCAGCACTTTGAAAGTGAAACACGCCACAAACGGCTGTATAAAATCATCGTTCCTGGCCATGACGACGAGGCCGTCTTAGTGCTATTACTGTATTTGAACTTAATTCCTGCTTCCTCTCCCTCCCTGCCTTCCTCCTCGGCCCCCTAGCCGTTATATTGTCCGTCCAGCTAAGCATTGTAAGCGATACAAGCGGTGGGAGTTGGGGTGCCACCTTCCATGTCACCCCCAGCACCTGGGACACTTGGGACCATGGTAGATGCCCTGAACTATCCGCTGGGTGGATAAAGGGCAGTGTGAGGGATGGCGGCGTGCTTGGAGTATCCGTGTCTCCTGCCAGATGCTCACCCCGTTCTCCTGGGCTTCGGTCCAGTAATCGGTATCAGATTAGCACACAAAATGTACAGGGCTGCGCAGAAGGCCGGCTCCCAAGTGAAGTCAGAGGTTTGGGTGGGGAAGGGGTGGGTGTCCCCGGTTCTTCTGTAGCCCCCTTCCAACCTGCACAGCTCCTGAGCCTTTGACCCCTTTCCACGGCCTCACGTCCCCTCCTGCCAGTGTACCTCATGCTTGACCTTGGTTTCTACCCTCTACAGTGCTGAAAGTTCGTCCAGTTAGGACCCATCTTCCTCTCCTGCCTGGATACCTGCTTTGGCTCTGGAGCTCGCTCTTTCTTTCTCTCTCTCTCTCTCTCTCTCTCTCTCTCTCTCTGTCTTTTTATTTTTGTGAGATAAGGTTTCTCTGTGTGGCTCTGGCTGTCCTGGAACTCACTCTGTAGCCCAGGCTGGCCTCGAACTCACAGATCTCCTGCCTCTGCCTCCCTAGTGCTGGGATTAAAGGCGTGCGTATGCCCAGCTGGCTCTAGAATTCTCTACTGTTTGGTTTGGCGTAGCAGCAAGAATGCCAACCAACGGCTTAGTTAACCAGGAAGCTAGTGTCTTCCTTACTAAGAGGGCAGAGGCCTGCACCGCCATGCGGTAGACACCTCACCTAAACCCAGCTCCACACAGTGTCTCAGAGTCCAGGACTGCCCGGTATCCATTCTTCTGACACATCTTTAGCCAGAATGGGCTCCTATGCCCACTCTTACAGGCAAATGGAGGATGGGAAACGTATTTTAGGGGTCTGTACACTCAGGAGGGGGAATATAGCCCTCAGGCTCATGGGTCTGCTGGTGCTGGCTTTCCACACCGGAGCGGGCACTGGGGTCATTCGGTGTCCCCAGTCTCTGTCCTCACCAGCTGAGGAAGAGGAGGAGCTTTCTTGGTCCGTCGGGTTGTCACCTTGTTCTAGACCCTTCCAAACCACTGCACTTCTGGGCCTTTCTTCATGTGCAGCCGAAGACCCCAGCCCTTCTTCCTCATCACCTCCAAGTGAAGGCTCCGCCTCTCTCATCCCTTCACCCCACGCTGGGAACGCAGCCTTTCTCCACAAGGGCCCATCTGAGTGAGCAGAGGACTTAGAGATTGATTGGAGGCAGTGCTCTGACATTGGGATGAGGAAGGGCTTGAATGTTTCCTTTCCTAAGATTAAAAAAATGTTTTAAGGCCAGGTGGTGGCGCACACTTTTAATCCCAGCACTCAGGAGACAGAAGCCGGAGGATCTCTGAGTTTGAGGCCAGCCCGGTCTACGGATCAAGTTCCAGGACAGCCAGGGCTACAAAGAGAAACCTTGTCTTGAAATACAAAAGACAAAAACAGAAAAAGAATTAAAAGGTATATATGTGTGTGTGCTCTCATGGGTGGGTGCATGTGTGCACATGTGTGCAGGTGCCTGCAGAAGCCAGAGGATCCCCTGGAGTGGAGTTACAGCTGTTGTGGGGTACCCTCGGGGAGGGGTGGTTGGTGCTGGAAGCAGAACTTGGGGCCTCTAGAAGAGCTTAACCACTGAGCCACCTCTCCAGCCCCTTGGCTTTTAAAATCATTATTATTATTGTGTGTGTGCCATCACATCTATGTGGAGATCAGAGGACAACTCTGGGGAGTTGGTTCTCTTCTTCCTCCATGGTTCTGGGGTGCAAACTCAAGTGGACCGGCTGGCTTGCACGGCAAGTGCTTGTACCCCGAGCCGTCTTGTCGCCTGACCACTTTAAAGTTTATGTTTTTAGCCAGGTGTGGTGGCTGAAATGTCACTTGACCCTGTAGGAGGCTGTCATAAGTTCAAGGCCAGCTCAGGCTACCTGTGAGCCTGCCTTTTTAAGAAAAGATGAGCCAAAAAAGGAGGAAAGGACGAAGGAAAGGAAGGAAGGAATATAGGTAAATGATAGATAGATAGATAGATAGATAGATAGATAGATAGATAGATAGATAGATAGATAGGTAGAGATGAGCCAGGCAGTGGTGGCACATGCCTTTAATCCCA